ATATGGCCTCCATTAAAATTAAAATTATTCCTGAAGTCTGAGATGCATGGCACCAAGCAAAGTCAAATAGCAAAGTGTTAGTGGGTTCATCACAAATATACCCATTAATTTTAGTTGACGCTCAAATGGAACAATGCCGTTTCAAATGGCATAAAGCCGATTTAATGGCATGAAGCCACATCAAGTTTCAAAGGGCACCAAGCTGTATCAAATCCCAAATGGCACGAAGTTGAAGAAAAGTCTCAAATGGCATGAAGCCATGTCAAAATTTAAATGGCATGAAGCCCTATCAAATCCCAAATAGTACGAAGCCAAAACAAGTCTCAAATGGCATGAAGCCATGTAATGCTCCAATGACTTAAAGTTCTTGCCTGCATGAGCTAAAATTGCACAAGGCATCAAATACTCCAATGGCTTAAAGTCCTCGCCCGCACGAGCTAAAACTACGCAGGCATTAAATGCTCCAATGGTTCAAAGTCCTTGCCCGCACGAGCTAAAACTGCTCTAATGGTTCAAAGTCTTTGCCCGCACGAGCTAAAACTGCAGAAGGCATTAAATGCTCCAATGGCTTAAAGTCCTCGCGCTGCACGACCTAAAACTGCACAAGGCATTCCTCGCCCGCTGATAGGAGCATATTCATGCGACTTAAATGGCTTGTTCTCGTGCATTTACGTTATGTTTCTTTAGTTATTTTAGTCCTTTATGCTTCTTTTGTATGTTTTCAGGTTCTAAGGGCAAAGTATGCAAAATGGTGCATTTTGGAGTAGTTTGGAGCGTTAAATGGATTGCATATACTTGAAGCCAAGTAGATGGACGAAATTGAAGACCAAAGGAGGCCCTTTGTACCAGAAATTCACACCAACACATCCCATTTCAGATTGCATTCCAATCATTCCAGCCAAGCCACATGCACTCCCTTTAATTTATTCAACCTAGCTGTCAAAGCACATGCACATTCACCCTAATCATTCACATACACAATATGCCATCATTCACCAATTCATTCCACATGCATTCCCGTCACAAATCAGCTACATGCACTTTGCCTTTCATCATTGCACCATAAATCAGCCACATGCACCCATAATCATTCAACCAACTTTGCACATGCATTTATCATCATAACCTAGCTGTCATTACCCTTTAATCACATGCATAAATCAGCCACATGCATCTCCCATCACCATTCCAGATTTCCACCAAGTTCCTAGCTGTCATATTCCCTCCTTTTCACCTATAAATAAGCATCCATTGCAGCCACAATTCATTCATTCCCATTCATTCACCATTCACGCCAGAAATTCATCCCCTCTCTATAACACATCCATACTTCACCATTCTTCATATTTTCTGCTCAAAAATAAGCCTTGAGGTCCCCTACATCCATCCCTATCCTAAACACATCATTCTACACCATCCATAACTCCCCAAACCATTCACACCATCAAACTATCCTTAGACCTTGTGCTACAACGAAGAGGAAGATAAGAGGGCCTAAACGTTCATACAATTCAAGTTTGAGTTGTTGGAATGTTTAGGTGTTTCTTTGATTTCAATGTTTAATTTCAATACTCTTTGTTTTGTACGAATGAGGAATGGAAGAGAAGAGGGCCTAAACGTTCATACAATTCAAGTTTGAGTTGTTGGAATGTTTAGGTGTTTCTTTGATTCTCTTTGTTTTGTATCATGAGGAACTAAACCCCCCCCTTGGCTAGGGGGGGATTCGAAATATATGTTTATGCTTGCATTTTGATTTGATTACTTCTAATTGCGTTTCATAACTTGTGGATTCAATTTGTTTAACTATTTGATTGATAACCTATTTATGTATGTTTATTGAGAGTGTACGCTTAATCTTCATGCATGAATATGACGCTAGAATATAAGTGAGTTTCACCTAATAGTTATGAACTTATATTCACAAGTAGTGGAGGTTGCTTATAAACAATCGCGTTAAATAAATTCTTGGCATGAGTTTCATGCAATCATAGTAACAAGTGCTTCGTCAATGCTTATGGTTTTCAAAGAACTTAATGATTCTTGCTTGTATCTCTATTATGCAATCATGTAGGGGACTTGTGGGAAATGTTTTGGGTTGTCGTATGCAATCATCCAATTCAATAACATTAGGAAAATCTGAGGGTTAATTAGTGCAATCACGGTTAACTTGGGGTGTTGAGAATTCATGGTTTATTGAAATGCAATTGGAAATCGTTTTATTATGCAAGTGTAACATATGTGGAGATGAACCCCTTAGCTAGCCATCCCATCCATTCAATTCCATCACATTCATCTTTACAATCTGTTTTAAATTACAATCTGTGCATTTTGTTTAATTTCGTCCAAAACTCAATCCCCCCTTGCTTTAGTGTCCAACTTAGTTAGAAAGTGTCTTAGTTTGTGTTTCTAAGTGTTTTGATTCATTTTATTACCCAATTTCGTCCAAAGTAGTCAAAGTGCTCAAAACTGCCCAGAAAGTGTTTTTAAGGCAGTTTTGAGTGTTTCGGGTGCTGTTTGAGTCTTTTGGTTTGTTTTAGTGTTTTAAGTGTTTAGTTTTGCATTCTTTGAGTCTAGTTTAGTGTTAAAGTGTCTTAGTTTGTGTTTATAAGTGTTTTGATTCAATTTATTACACACATTCGTCCAAATTCACCAAAGTGCTCAAAACTGCCCAGATTGTGTTTTTAAGGCAGTTTTGAGTGTTTTGGGGCTGTTTTGAGTCCTTTGGTTTGTTTTAGTGTTTTAAATGTTTAGTTTTGCATTCTTTGAGTCTAGTTTAGTGTTTTAAACTTTATTTTACGTTTTTGAGTCAGTTTCCAAGTGATTTTGCAATCCCTCCTAATCCCCGGTTAAGAACGATCCCTACTTATACTTATACTACAATTGATAAAAAGAGGGTTTAATTTGTGTGCATATAATTCTCGCATCACCCGCACGACTTAAAATTGCACAAGGCATCAAATGCTCCAATGGCTTAAAGTCCTCGCCTGCACGAGCTAAAACTGTACAAGGCATCAAATGCTCCAATGGTTCAAAGTCCTCGCCCGCACGAGCTAAAATTGCACAAGGCATTAAATGCTCTAATGGCTTAAAGTCTTCGCCCGCATGAGCTAAAACTGCACAAGGCATCAAATGCTCCTTGCTTGCATGAGCTAAAACTGCACAAGGCATCAAATCCCAACAAATACAAAAAGAACTACAAGTGACTTGATCCCCCAACGAGGGTACGTAGGCAATCTAGGGCTTGACCTAGGTGCAGTCACAAAATCAAACACCCAAATCCCCAAGTTACAATTTATTCATATTGGAATCAAATGGTATTCCTTTCCCCAAAAAAGGTTGTAATTAATAGGCGCTTAGCCTAGAATGGGTCGAACTCAAATTAATAAAACCTCTTTGGAAAAATGAACGAGGGTGAAATTGTGTCGAGTGAATTATTTGTTTACATATTGTGCACAATTTTTTATCAACAGTGGTACTAATACATGTTGAACGGAACTGGTTTTAGGCTTTCAGCTTCCCATTAATTTGGAAGCACCTTTAGATGTGTGTCACGAGAGATTTTAGATCGGATACAACGTGTATATCTTGATTACACAGAAAAATCACGCATGTGAGAGAGAGAGAGAGGAGAGAGAGAGAGAGAGAGAGTAATAAGACAGAAAATACCCATAATTTCTACTTACTCCGCAAGAGACTGTTCATCTTTGATCATATATATGGATTTTAATTAACACTTAAGTTACAAGTTACTTGATCATCCTATTTGATTAAAGCTTCACCAGAAATTTCCTATAGTTATACAAATTTCATATGTGATTGTTCTTTAATTGGTGCACCTAAATATATATGCCCAACCAATCTTTCACCATCGTTTCCTTTTCCTATCACCCGATCGATCATCGATCCTTGCCTAATGGTACAACCAATCAAATTACTGAGTTTTTTTTTCTCCTAATGTTGATATTAAATCTTAATTAAAGACAGTGACCAGCTATCAAGTTATTTAATTGTGTGTCACAGTTTGTTAACACAGTAACATTGGCAATCGAAATATTGTTTACTTGCTGCTGGGGAAAAAAAAGTATGACTGAATAATGAAATGAACTTAGCTAGTTAGTTTCTTCCATAATAACCAAAATGCATGTATGTTCAAATATCTTATCCAACTTCAACTCCGCCAAAAAACTTATTTCTCTATACTTGGCCATGCAAGAGAGATGTATACCTTAGTCGGCATTCATATATACTTGGAAAATTGATTTATTATTATATGTTGGTTTTTCTTTACTAAAGATTATGATTCCTACCACGTTTGATATTAGGGTTTGTTTTACCCGTTTGATATTAAGGTTCGTTTTGGTTTCCTCTATCAATAGGGTGTTTTGTAACTTGTAAAATAATAAGTCTGACAAGATGTAGTCTCTATGAGTTATTTTTTTAGTGTTTCTTTGCTTAAGATTAATAAAATATTATTCTTAGTATTACGTTCAGTTTGTTCATCATATGCTCTAATGATATATACATACATACATACGTATATTATGTTTTTAAGCCATATTCTGTTTTGAGAGATCCATCAAATGATACATTTATTTGAGACATCTTATTCAGTCAATTTAGCAGCATTAGTACAAAACACTTTGCGCGACACAGGTCTTTCGTTGCGCAAAGTCAAAAAACGTCATGCAAAACTTTGCACAACGGACCTTCGTTGCGTGCTAACCGTCGTGGCAAGGCAGTGACAGAAGGGTTTGCGCGACGAAGAAGAAACCTACATCGTGCAAAGGGGCTTTGCGCGACGCATGTCCTGAGTGTCGCAAAGTCACTTTGCGCGACGCAGCCTACTACGTCGCGCAAAGGGGTTTTGTGCAACGCATGTTCCTGAGTCGCGCGACGCAACCTACGTTGCACAAAATGGATTAGATCACTTTTTGGTTTTGGTCAAAATTTTTTTTTTTAATTTTTAATAATATTGTAATTATATTCTAAACAATGATTAATTAACCAAAGAAAAGTATTTTATTATAAAATATATGAAAATGTACATACAAGATGTTCGAACAAAAAAAAAATTACAAGTAGTCTTCTAGGTGAAGTGGCTCAGAGGTCGAAGGTGGAGCAAGATCAGGTACTGGTAGCGAGATTTGGATGCCGATCATCTGTATGGCTCGTACAAGGTCTCTCACGTGCCTAACATAGGCTCCTCGCCCTGGGCCCTCATTTGCTGGCCCTGGATCGCAAGTTGACCCTTTAGGGTTGTCACTTCCTCCTTCAACGCATCGACCTCTGCGGTGTTTGACCTGGAGCAGTAGATGCTTATAATGCGGGAAGCTCATTGGTCACACTCCGACGATGAGTGATCACTTGCGACATCTATACACTTTTTGAACCATAAAATTATAACATTAGAAACTAATCATTTCTTGCATTCGAAACTAATCAATTAGCAGCCAAAGTAATAAGTAGGTTACAAACATTCTTAATTTCAAAACAAGAGGAACTACCTATCCATTTTCATGGCCAACAAAAAAAAGTGCATCAAGTGAAACAAAAAAGAATGGGTAGTCCGACACTATTTTATAAACAGTAAGCTCCATTTTATTTAAAAAACCTATAGGGCGTGTTCGCTTGGGTTGGTTCTAGTTCAAGCCCTCATTTTAACAAGGTCAAAATAAGGAGACTAGGTGAGGCACTAGTCCCACTTAGTGAGATTGCTAAATAGCACCCTATTTGATACAACTTAGACTCACTCATAATAGCTCAATTCGGCAAACTAATGCGGTGTAGCAAACATAGCCATAAAGTCCAAGCGAAGCAAATAGCTGGAAATCCTACCCCTCCATTTTTCTGATGCTACAAAATAAGGAACACAAAGAATGCAGTAATTGGATCAAGAAAAGTTCTAGAATCTCTCACGTTCATCGGGCATAACCACGTTGTACACACACACACACACACACATATATAATATATATATATATACATATAATATATATATATAGCTCAGTATGTATGCTTTATGAAGGCAATTTAAGGTCCCATCTAGGTCAATTCAATTAGGCAAATATGGAGTGTTCGTGTTCCAAACAAATTTGGGCATTCCAAATTGCAGTGGCAAACATTTTGCAATCCATCATCCAACCAACTAATGTTCCAATTATTTGCATATACATACATATATATACACACACATATATATGCTTGGAATATGTATTTAATTATTGCAGAGAAGCAAAACGGAGAAACGAGAAAATTAAAGGGAAAAGGAAAAAGGGAGAAGAGAAAGAGAGTTGAGCAATCTTTCTTCTTCCCCTGAAAAATTAACAAAGGTTTTAGAATGGTGTTGATAATGATTTCTACAGCTTGCAACTAGTGAATGATTGTGGTTGAATGTACAGAGAGAGTGTTCTCTTAAAAACAATTCTAAGAAATCAACTTCCACATCTTTCGATCAGTGCGAGCATATAGGAAATGGAAAAGACATATAATTTGTTTATACAGAGTTGACATCGGGAGGGCCACATTTTCAGCCTACCACTCCTCCGATTATTTGTGTAAAACGTGTAAGTTCAGGACATGCAGAGCATTAAGAAGCATTCAACTCAACATCATTTCAAAGACAAACTTATCAGTAGGAAATTTAACAAAAGAATAGAAAACAAAACGCGAAAGCATAAATCTTTTCTCGCTAAAGAGAAAGCAAAAGGCTTAAAGCATGCCACAAAAAATGCTGAAAGAATACCTTTTCAACTTTTATAATATTTGCTTAATGGAATATAGGATTTCAAGTTCAACCACCAAGTTCTTGATGAGAAATACGTAACAAAAAGAAAATGTGCAAAGGTCTAATTAAACCAATGTCATAACAATGAAACGAAAAGTTTCACTTGCCGAAACTGAAACACACACAACACTGCTACAACTTAGAAATTAAAATGCCAATTATCCAAAACTAGTCAATTTTACTTCACATGGCATTGGACAATAACACAAATTTTTCCGACTAATGACAAGTCCGCTTCTAAATGTAATTAGTTTTCTCAAATCATCTTAAACACAGAATACTGAATGTACAATTACAGGGATTGTCGTACCTATGGATTCCTGCAAATGGGTAAGAATGACTTATAGCAGGACGAGCTCTTTCAAAGACCAAATGAGGTGAATGCAGCTGCCCTGGAGCTTTAGGCCCCCTATGTTGAAATAAAAATCAATAAGTTTTTAATACATAACGAAACCCAAATGCTCAATGGCTATTCAATCACAGGTGTTTATGCATAACTCAGGCACATTCATGCATCAATAATATATCACAGCACTATATTCTTCTCTAACGTGTCATAAATTAAGCATGTGCCACAAGAATGTGATCGCATTAAGACAGATACACACGGAAAAAAACATAAAACACTAAGTGAAACACATAGTAATGAATTTATATGTTTAATTTACAAGGGTTGTCCTTACCCATGGACTCTTGCAGAAGGGTAAGGTTGATTCGCAACAGGACGAACTCTTCCAAAGCCTAAAAGAAGAGAATACAGCTGCCATGGAGCTTCAGGCCCCCTATGTTCAAATAAACCAATAAGTTTTTACCAAAGCCAAATGCTCAATGACCATTCAATCACAGGTTTTTATGCGGGACTCAGTATACTCATACATCAATGATATATCACAGCACCATATTTTTCTATGACATATACATTAGACATACACCAAATAATTTTGTGATCGCATTGGAACTAATAACAAAGACAGAAATCATATAACACCAATTGAAACACTTTTAAGGAATTTAAAAGTTTACAGTTCTTGGTGTTGTCATTACCTTCGACAAAACATTTACAAAGCCGGTTTATTTCTTAAGAAAAATAAAGGTACGTTAGTGAAGCTTGGCAAGTCAGATTAACAATGCACATCGGATTCCTTCCCCGCTTCCCCCTCCCCCCCCCGGGGCACCCCGGCCGGGGGGAAGCCAGTGCTTAATTTCATGGTGAAGTTTGACATAAGTGCATCAAAGTCACTACTAAGCCATAGATTATCCTAGTAAAATACATGAGCTTAACGCTTAATTGAGCAGAATGAGTAGTACTTAACGTAAGATTAATTCATTCTGGAAATCGAATTTGGCTTCCTAAATTTTATCATCAACCAAACAGAAAGAGCTGGAAAAAGTAAATCTGTGAAATTCTCGCCAATGGAGCTCAAACTGTCCTAATTTTCCGCAATACTAACTTCCCGAAACTTGAAATTTGATTCTAGACAAACCCCTCGATTCCTAAACCCCAGCTTGACCAGAAAGACACCAATTTTAGCACTAAATTCTCCAAAAAATAAAATAAAATAAAAATCAGCAATGGCAGCAGAAAGAGCTAAACAAATTAAAAACAAAACCCCCAGAAAAATTAAAGATTGGGAAAACAAGACTCACCATTGGAGCCGCAGCTGGAAATGTGGAGGCTTGGAGAAGTGAGAGACGTACTCAAATGAGCTATTATAAAAAAAATGCTAATAAGAAACGTACTCAAATGGAATGCAAACTTGCAAAAACTGGAGATGCGAGTTTGTATTTGCCAGAGAACTTGCACAGATTGTTCAAGATTGTGAAGAGGAAAGGTTGCGAACGAGAGGTAGAGAGATGTCTATGGGAAAAAGAGAAGGAGAGATGAACGAGAGGGAAGAGAGAGGTTTATACGGGAAAGAGGAGGAGAGAGGTCCAAACTTAGAAAAATTGAAAAAAACCGCCTATTTTTCACTATTGGACCGTCAAATTTATCATAACTTGCGCGATATAGGTATACAATTTGTCGTCGCGCAAAGTGGTTTTGCCCGACGACCACGTTAAGACGTCGCACAAGGTATTTTTTGTTTTTTTTCAATTATTATAAAAATTACTGAAAATGTAACTTTACTCCTTTCAAATTCAATTTTTTTTTACATAAACTCCACAATAATATATTTTTCTAACAAAAACCCACAATAATTTTTTTTACATATATATCATTCAATTTCTTAAGTGTTATAATTAAGTACAAAATAAATAAATTAAAATCTACTCCTCTGCGTATTCGCAAGAACAGAGAATATTTCAAACACTTGTAATACATATTATTCAGGATGCCTGCGAGCTCCACTTTGTTTACTTATTTCATCTGCCATTAGGCAATACCTGTTTGTAATCTGCATTGCAGTAAGTTTTCAATAAAACTTATTTTCAAAATATATTTGCATCATTACATTTAATTCATAATTTTCTTTACATGCTTTACTTCCGCACTCTGAATTATATGGAAGGCTATGCCTCCTGCTGTTCTTTTTAATTCAATATATTGATATGTTTCTTTTAACTTTTTATATGCTTTACTTCCGCACTTTATATTCTATGGAAGGCTATGCCTCCTACCAGTAGTTCCGCCCCATTTGGTATCAGAGCCAAGTGGTTGGTAATTGCATTAGCATCTATCTGATCTATTTCTGATTCATACATTCTTATATTCTATCTGCATTTCTTAATCGTCGGTCCTCAATTCTTCTTTCTTCCAGCCAAACAGTAAGACGTGGTCCAAACAATAAGTCCCAGGAGAGGCATGAGCGGAGCGCATGAGCGGGGGAAGAGTCTAGACATACGAGGAAGGTGAATCTTTTAAGTCTTGCATATAGCATATTTGTTTTTGTGTGCATCATGAGTAGATTATTTAGATCTAATTCAATAGCCAGCACTAGCTCTAGATCCAATCTAGGAACTATACCTGACATTGTCAATGAGGAACAAAAACTTGATTTTCAAACAGATGAAAGTATTGATTTTTCTGACTGGAATCTTCCAAAAGTTTCAACCCAAAATATTTACAAGAAAAAATGGTCTTTGACCTCTTTTAAATCCGAACATCACGTCAAAACAGTTGAGAAGGCTTATGCTCTTAGCAAAGAACATGAGACTTGTCAATTATTTTCTCCGGAACAAATCAAAGCGCATCGCAAAAATGGTCATAACTATCTTCATATTGGTTTAGTTCAAATCGCAGTTAAACCATTAACACGAAAAGGTCTTAACACTTCTATCCTTTTATGTTTACGCGACGCTAGATTTACTGATTTCAACGACAGTATACTCGGAATGATCGAATCTAGTCTTTACAACGGACCTATCCATTTTGATTGTTTTCCAGATCTCACAATAAGTCTTTCAGACCCACATGTTTTAAAAGCTCTTACTCTCAATATCAAAACCTCCGGGTACCAAGTCCTGGAAGGAACACAACCTTTGGCACTTATTTTTAGAATTTATTACAAAGTCACTGGCACAAACATGAATTTTCAAGCTTTAAACAAAAGTCCTCGCGACCATACTCTTTTGATCCAAACAACCCAAGAGAGCGCAAACATAAGAGTACCAAGAACCATTAGGTGGTCAGACATCAGTCTCCCTTCAGATTGGTGTTTAATCAACGAAAGTAAACCGGTTTCCGTCCAAAACAGTCTTGTTAATCTTGACAACATTGAACAATATTTTGACGGCACTGTAAAAATCAATTTTGATAGACCAGCAAGAAAATCTTGTGAATCAGTACATTCACACAAATCTTTTGCTCCTAGCAGACAATCTTTTTCTGGATCCACGTCAACCGATAGACTGGGTCGAGATCAAGATTTGATCAGATCTTTAGTAAACAAAAAGTTAAAAGAGCAGGAAACTGCACAACAAGATTTAATCAATGATTTGCTCAAATTAAAGTCTGTCGACACTTCTTCACAAGTTGCACATCCTGTTTATCATCCTCCAAACCAAGAAGAACCCACTTCTCCAACTGCTTCTGATTTTGAAACAACATCGGTGAATCACCAATTACTTGTTTTAAACAAACCACATAAAATCCGATGGAGGAAGCTTAAAGCTGACATCGCTTCTGAGGAAAATATTCCCAGAAGAAATATTTTTAGAAAAAAGTATTGTGATGAAGAAAAGCTAGCCATATATGCCCAATGGAAAGCTTTTGTAGAACAATACCAATTTGAAATATCTTTCTTTGATTTCATTGAAAAACATTATGAGACCAAAAATAAAGTTACGGTTGTTACCAAAGAAAATTGGGTTAAGGAAGACAAAACTTTGGTTTCCTCTAGTCATCCTCCCAAAGAAACTATTTTAATTTCTACTGGTAATACCAACATTCCCGCAACCCCTTTCAAAATTCCAAAAGAAGATTCTGGTTTTAAACCTGTCATTGAACAGAACAATTTTACAAACCAAAGTCTTCACACCATTGGAAAACAGTTAGACAAAATTGAAACCAAAATCGACAAATTGTCTCAACCAATTTCTTCTCCAAAAGAAAAACCTTTAGTAAATTTTACTGATACCGCTTCAAGTTCCACTGCTTTAAAATCCATGACTACTTTACAAAAAATTGATCATATGCTCACTGAGCTCAAAAAAGAGAAAGTTGTCAATGTTTTGCAAAACAATGATGTTTCTGTTGAAGAAGAAAACACATCTGGCACAGATTCTTCTCAGGACACGGAAACTAGTTCTGCTATCCAAAATATTGAAAATGCTTTTCAAAACATTGATCTTCAGCCAACTTTTGATTTAAAACGCATTCATACTCGTCCTGTCAACCCTACTTCTCTTACAAAAAATTGGTATCCCAGGCCAACTCCCCCTGATCTTCAGTTTGAAGAAAGAAATATCCAAAATCAATTTTCAGTCTCTGCTGACAAACTCTATGAATGGAATATAGATGGATTGTCAGAACAAGAACTTTTGAACAAACTCCAACATATGTCCATGGTCGCCAATAGCTACATTTCAAATCACAATTTTACACAAACACAAATCGTTGATCTTCTCGTCACTGGTTTCACTGGAATGCTTCATTCTTGGTGGGAGAAGCACTTAACTTCTCAGTCCAGAGATGAAATACGTTTTGCGGTCAAAAAAGATGAGGAAGGACTTCCCATCTTTGATGAAACGATAGGACAGGGAATACCCGACGGAGTAAATACTTTACTTTATACGATTATAGAACACTTTATAGGAACACCTAGCAACGTTACTACACGTATTCACGACCAACTGAGTAATTTAAGGTGTCCAACCTTAAGTGATTTCAGATGGTATAAAGATGTTTTTATATCCAGAGTTATGCTTCGGGAAGATAGTAATCAACCTTTTTGGAAAGAAAAATTTATCAATGGTTTACCAAATCTTTTTGCTCACAAAATCCGAAATGTTTTAGTTAACGAAGAAGGTGTAATACCTTATCATACCCTTACTTATGGTAGCATAGTTAATGTTATACAAAAGGAAGGATTGAAAATGTGTATTGACATGAAGATTTCAAAACAAGTTAATAAGGATAAATCTATTGCTAAATACGAACTTGGAACGTTTTGTGAACAATACGGTTTACCTCCAATAGCTCCTTCAAGCAAAAAGAAAAAAGCCCAACAAACAAGCAGGTTTTCTAAATATCAATCCAGATTTTATAAAAACAAAAGATCTTCCAACAAACCTTTTCAAACAAATAAATTTTATGAAAAACCATCTCCAAGCAAAAAACCTTTTCGAAAGCCTAAAAAGGATTTTCAAAATAAAAAGGGAAAATGCTACAAATGTGGCAAATTTGGTCATTATGCAAATGAATGTAGAGTTAAAAAGGTTATTAACCAACTAAAAATCTCTGAAGAAGAGAAGGTTCAACTTATTCAGGCTTTAGAAATTAGAAATACCGACTCTAGTCAATCTGATAAAAATCCCGATTTTTCCGTCTCTGACTCTAGCAGTTCTAGCGACGTCTCCTCGCCAAACATTAAGTTTGGGTGCACGGACGCTTGTTGTAATAAAATTTCAGTGCTTAATAAGCAAGAAGAACAAGAAGAATTTTTAATGGAATTAATTAGTAAAGTCGATGACCCTGATTTAAAATCTTTTTATTTGAAAAAACTCAAAAATTTGATTTCTTCTCATGAACCTGGCACTAGTCAAATTTCTTCTCAAAAGATTTCTCTCAGCACCACTTTGGAACGGTTTAATAAACCAAAAAAGGATTTAACCATCAAGGATTTACAAAAAGAAATTAACCAAATTAAATCAGAAATTAAGTTTTTAAAATCTGAAAATACAGAAATTCGCTCACAACTTAGTAGAGCTCGTACACAAGCGCTTGTAGAAGAACAAGGTAATTCTTCCTCAAACTCCGATTCCGACACTCACTCAAAAAAATCTTCTTCTTCAAAGGACCTTGTTTTAAGTCTTTTAGACAAAATTAGAATTAGAAAATGGTATTCTAAAATCAAAATAATAATTGACGATTTTTCTTTAGAAACCATCGCTTTAATTGATTCAGGCGCAGATTTAAATTGCATTCAAGAAGGGTTAATACCTACAAAGTATTATCACAAATCAACTGAGGTACTTAGCGCTGCTAATCAATCCCCAATGAATTTAAAATATGAGATCCCCAAAGCCCATGTTTGTCAAGAAAATGTTTGTTTTAAAACTCCATTCGTTTTAATTAAAAACATTTCTGATCCAGTTATTTTGGGACTTCCTTTCATTGCATTAATTTATCCTTTTAAAGTTCATCACAACTGTATTTCAACAAAGGTTTTTGGCCAAAAGATTACTTTTGAATTTTGCATAGAAACAGATCTTAAAAAGTTAAAACAACTACAAAAGGATAATGTTTCAAAAACTCTCAACCAGATTACTGCAAAATCC